GAGGCAAGGAGTGCAGAGGCCCAAAGTTCAGGGGTCCCCCAGCTCCAGGGGAATCTTGAGGCTGAGCTTGCAGAGTGGTGAGCAGAGGCTGTGCCTCAGCTTGGGAGTAGCCCATGACCAAGCCTCCTGTGGCCCCTGGCGGGTTACATGGGGGTAGGTTGAGTGGAAGGAAGCCCAGTAAGTGAGAGAAGTCCATATTAGCAGTGCAAAGGGCCTCAGAGAGGTTGGAGGGACTCTTGGTGAGCAGGGCTTCGTCTAGGAGGGCTGCAGCTGCTGCCGCTGCCGCCGCTGCCGCCGGCTGAGGTGAGGCGGGCTGGGGTTCAGCTGATGAGAGAGACAGACTTCCAGGAAGCTCTGCCAGAAAACTACCCACCTCCACTTTGGGCAGTTTATCAGGCAAGTATGAGGTAGATCCAAGCTGGTATTTTTGGAGGGAGCTGAGCTGAGGAGGAGATCGGAGAAGATTCCAGAGGGTAGCTCATACCCATGGGCAGCGTGTTGTGCACCAGGGAGTGTGGCACGCCCGCACTGGGCATGGTAGGGATGTGGGCACCATACATACCCATGGGCAACATGCCAGGGAAGGCCTTGGCCCCCATCACGTCCCGAGAGGCCATGCAGAGCACAGGGCTCAGCTCTTCCTTCACACTGACTGCGGAGCTACAGCTGAGTAAGCCTAACATATCCACTGGCTCTGTCTTGATCTTGAGCAGCTCCTGTGAGTGGCTCTTCTTGACATGCCGTGTCAGGTGATCCTTGCGGCCAAACCTCTGGGCACAGTACTGGCACAGGAAGTCTTTACGACCAGTGTGCACCACTAGGTGCCGTCGAACATCCTTCCGAGTATAGAACCGCCGGTCACAGTGATCACAGGGGTGCTTCTTCTCCTTGGCACCTCCTGCTACCCGGCGTGAGTGAGCCTTCAGGTGCTCCAATAGGGCCTGGGTACTCTCAAAGGTCTGCAGGCACACCTTGCAGCTGAGATCACCACTGCTGGCAGCATGCATGGCCAGGTGGCGGCGGTAACCCAGCTTTGTATTGTAATTCTTACCGCACTCAGAGCAGTGGAGGGCCTCCTTGTTGGGGTCGTGGGTTTGCAAGTGGTTCCGCAGATGGTCCTTTCGGTGAAACATCTTGTCACAGTACATGCACTGGTGGGGTTTCTGGGCCGAGTGGG